ATAAGTTTCATTATAATTTTGTATCATTCCTGCGACCTTATAACATTTTATACTACTTCATCTTTAGAACAACTGAAGATTCTAATAATTGTTATAAAAGAATTAAGATATTTCAGAAAACTTTCTATACTTAGTCAGGATCAGAAAATCTGTTAATTGTATTGCTTCTTTACTAAGACTAAACTTTCAGCAAATGGCAGATATTTCACCCACTTTTCCAGGCTTTCTTGAAATTAATGGAGAAAAGCAGCACCTTTCTATTTTGCCAGTTCCATTTTCTAACATTATTCTCTTCTACAATATCTTCTGACATATTTTAAAGCCACTCTCTGTTTGTAATGCTAGCTTTATTGGTAACATTAAAAACTGGCTCAGGGATATTTTTATGACGTTTTTCTAATTATTAACTCATCACGTTTAGAGCAAAATCTTACAATATTAGGAAACTAGACATAACATGATAGTTGAAATTAGGGATTTGAATTATTTATTAACTGGGTATCACAGTGATTATAGCATGTGGAAGTCTTGTGTTCAAATCCCAGCCGAGTCAGGAAGTTATATTAATTGTTTTTATTGTTATATTTAATTTTTATATATATTACCATATTTACAGCAAGTGTCAAAAACAACTTAATTATCTTTTCAAAAAAATAGATGGCACTACAATACATTCTTATTGATGTTTTTCACCTTTTAATAAGAGATTTTTCAAAATTTAATCAAAAATTTTATGAAAATTTATACCTTCATGCATTTGCCCTTTACTTTCAAATTACTTGCCTCTGTCATCACAATTAATAAATTGCAGGGTCAGACATTTTACCATTTAGGAATATTTCTTTGAGACCATTCTTTTTTGCATGGTTCAATCTATAAGATTTTTTATCAAGAAGCAGATTTGAACATAACATGAAAATATAGGTAAGCCAAAATTTGAGCATTTCAACATTTTTAAAATTGTTCTAAATACCCAACTTTATTTAAAATTTAGAATATGACCAACTAAAGACTTCAGTAACATATCTGAAATTTTATTTATTTCCCATCTTTGGTACAAAACTCAAAAGCTCAAGGTACACATATCATCACTATTGTGAACATGGCATTGTAAATTCCTAAACATAAAATATGCTCATACCATGAATACTATGAAAAAGTAAATTTAACAGGGCAAGAACTCACTTTGTTGTTAAGTTGCACTGCTTTTACTACTTTTGAAGTCTTGATGTCAAAAAGGTAGAGTAGGCTGCCAGAAGTAGCTGACTCTACACAAACAAGAAGTTTAGGTGTAGAGTTATCAAAGCTTGGAAATTCTCTCACAGCAGAAATAGTACAAGTATCTTTCAAAGCAGCTCCAAAACACCATGAACTACATCTTTCACCACGATTAGTAGAAAATACCTCCAAAACTGGTCCCTTGACCTTCCACAGCCAAGATCCATCTATCAAATAAAAATTGTGTTCAGCCTTAAAGAAAAAATTTCATAACAGTACCCATCTTGAAGAAAATGATATAATTAAAACAGAAATTCTACAATTTAAAAAATCATACTAAAAAATAAGTAATTGTACTTTTAAGAATTATTTGTACAAGGAAAAAATTAATAACAAACAAAACATTTACAACATGAAAAGCAAGGCAATATCTAATAATGTGAGAAAAAAAATTAAAACCCCACAGAAGTGTCAAGTACTGTAGATTGTTTGCCAAAAAATTATCCTGACCAAAGTTTAACACTTGAAAAATGTTAGGATTACTCCATTAATAAAAATAGGCTTAATAAATATATGAAAGTTCTCTCTACTTGCTTCTCATATTTTCTTGCAATTTTTATCTAAATTAACTTTACAGAAGCTCAAAACATATCATAAGTGGTATAAAATTGACATAAAAAAATCTACCAAAAAATATAAATTAATTTTAACTTCTGATCAAAGAAAGTTACATACTTAGACCAAAACTAAAAACAAAACTAGTAAAGAGCATAGCTCATTATAAATACTTTTGTTATGAGAACACTTTTTCTATTATCAAGGTGAAAGATCTAGTTCATGGTATTTTGGAATTATTTTACAAGATACTTGTACTACATCATCTTTGACTGAATTTCCTGGCTCTGAAAACTTTACATCTTGACTTATTGTAGGTGTAGAGTTAGCTAAAGTGCAAACTTATTTTTATCAAACACAATATGCAAAGATTTTAAAAGACTTGCCTTGACTAACTTGTCCTAAAACTTGTATGGTATTGGAATTAATAAAAGCTGAAGTATGATGGGTATGTCTACAGTTTTCAAATGGTGAAAACTCTGACACTGTGTTCGGTACAATTTCTTTGTGCATGATTAACACAATCACTTTGCAAAATTAAAATTTTGAAATGGGAGCTGAAATATAAAATTTGTTAGTTAGTACATATATATGTATGAAAGAGAATAGAGAGTTTCAATACAACAATCTAACCACAAAATTAGCAATAGAAAATTTTTAGAACCATACTTTTAGAATATAGTAATAATTAATTGCCCACATAGTTGAAACCTAGTACTAAAACAAAAGTTATTTAAATGTAGCAATCTTGAGATAAAGTGAACTCAAGCTTGGCTACTAACACCTACATCTAATACAAGGATGATAATAATAATGAAAAAAAATTAACTATATTTTTATTCTACCATATACATTTTTCAAAAATCTTAAAATTCATAATTCTTAGACTTTATGCCTGTAACTGTTTCATAACATAGAAAACAAATATGCCCTAATATATACTGAGTTTAGTCTTAATAGTTAAAAATAATGGTTATAGGACCCCTTGTAATTTTGGTCCACAACTACTATAAGGTGTGGTTACACCATTGGGCCTAGCTCATTCAGGTGTTATAGTGCAGTCAACTGGTTATCATTAGATTGTCAGTACTATCTGGGTCTTGTTATCATGACAGAATTGCATGTACAGCAGTCAGGTCACACCATATAGTCCTGTTTCAACTGCAAATTTTTTGGTCTTTGGATAAGGGACTGTCTATATCCTCTTATGTCACACAGGAGAGTAAGTAGGTTTCCTTCCAAAAAATGCCAGGGATTTGCAAAGCTTACAATGGGCTAGAGCTTCTACTGCTCTGGCTAACTTACTCTAGTGGAATCTGGGTTAGTTCTGGCCAGCAGCTAATGTGGGTACTGTAGTATACATGTGTTTAAGGTGTGGTGGTCTGCTCAGATCACTCTGAACTGAACATGACTTGATAAATGATTGTAAAATGCATGAACATAGACTAACTTTTGTTAGTTATGGTACTTTCAGAATTTTGCTGGACATTGCTATATATCAGTACCTACCCTGGCCAATTAATACTAACTTTTTTCCTGAGAACTAGAAGCAAGCTACACACAGGTGCAAAGGTAAGCACACCTAAAGTTTGCTATTGGTGCTGCTTTCTTGCATTACAAAGGTCAATGTCTGTGACCTAGGATTAAGCATTGGTATCTTATTAACAGACCTGTTGGATAAGTTAATAGTCATAAACATGGCCTGTGGAACAGGCAAGATGAAACTTCATGATAAAACCATCCAATGTCATTACCTCAGAATGTTCAAGTGGTTTTCCATGGTGTACTTATACATGGACACCATTTAGTGTGCTACTACTGTCTGCTGTGGTGATAAAACAAATACAAAAAACAAACAATATTTTCTGTCCAGAAACCATGTTGTACTTCTTCAAAATGTTTATTTCAGGAGTGCTAGCTTTGTATCAGTGCTGGTTTGTAATTAAAATGATATGACTATTCACTCTTCAGCTGGGATGGTTATTAGTATAGTGAATGAGGCAGAAATGACTGAAGGTGGCTGTATAGCTAGTGTTGCTACAGTTGCACCACGCATAAGAGCAAAATACAGCAATCACAATATATGAGATTGCTAACTGAGGTTCTACTAACAATCAGGACACAAAGTAGCAATACAAACTCAGCAGAGTGCTATTGGAGTTTAACAATGTCATTGTAGAGCCAAATAGATGAGTGGGTAGAACACTTTGTAGTCACACATCTGAGTGAAGCACCAGAAATGTTGTTAATACTGAAATGTTGAAGGATAGAGAAATCAACCTCCAGATAGTGCTTGGACCTCTCAAGTAATGGCTGTAAAGAAGAAGGATGAAGTTCTCAAGGTTCTTTATGGACTTCAGGAAGATGAACAGTGGTCATACACACTGACGCATTTCCTTTGCATGCGTGTTTGGACATTTGGATGTGCTAGAAAGTGCAAATTAGTTCAAAACATTAGACCTGGCATTAAGCCACTGGCAAAATGAGTTTAAAATTAGAGTATATCTAGGGTGGTTTTCAGAACTCAAGAAGATTTGTATTAATTTTTTGTCCTCCATATGACCCATGTAGTGTGCTAGTCATTTTTGGGAGGCTGACTGAAATCACACTGAAAAGGCTCCAATAGGAAGAAGGTTTCATCTGTGTGGATGACATCCTATTGTTTAGCCATACATTTCAATATGCTGCTGAAAAACCCAAGAATGATGTTTCAGCAGACTAAGAAGGCAGATTTAAAATTAAAGCTAAAAATGTGTTCTGCTAAATGTTTTCTGCTCATCCAATAATAGAGGAGTTGTTGCAGTGTTTGCAAATTTTCTAGAGGTTAGAGCAGTTGAGTGATTAGAAGTCAGATAGCTATGAAATCAAGAACTAAAACGTTGCAACAATAGACATATGGTTTAACTTTTAAGTATAAAAAGGGACCTGTTGGTCCGTATAGGTCATCCTATCCACTATATAGTTACAGATGCAAATAAAGAACAAACAGGACTAAAATACAAGACAGTTTATTGCAAAATCTCATAGAAGCTTATGAAACATGAGGTTTCTACGTTACCTTAAAGGTCCCAAGTTCTTGGAATGCCCTAAAAGTAATGGAAAACACAATAAATAAGTAATTAGTATATCACTCAGTAAAGTTTTACTTAAATGTAATAAAAAAAAGAAAACTTAAAATTAATCATATTTAGTAATTGGGTAAATAAAGACGGAATCCATAAATTTCATAACATTTAAAAAAGTCACTATTAACAATAACGAACATGTTATGGGTAAAACAAAAAAGTTACTGGACGCTTAGATTATTTACACAGTAGTTATATCATCATTCCCACCGATAAAGCAGTTGACAACTTCATTTTCGTTTGTAAAAGATTTATATTACAATTTCATGCAAAGAACTAAGGTTTAATTTTAAAAAGTTAAAATATTCGGATAACGAGGAGTACAAACGCGTTCAAAACAATATATAAAGTATCACACATAAACACATTTCAGTTTTATCATACTTTGGTTTACATTCTTTTAAATCATAAAATGTGATACCTAAATCATTTTGGATTCCTAAACTAAACAATTGTTGCGTCAGCGAGTCACATGACTGGTGTGACGCCACGTTTCTAGAACTATCCCGTATCTTGGCGAATGCTCTAGTATTTACTAGATGGAGGGTAGACTGGTATATAAAGGAGGGTGACAACGTGACGGAAAATTAATGTAATGTGTGTGTAGATAGTGAGTAATTGATCTGCGGTCAGAAGTATTATTGACGTTCGTTGTTATAGCGTTTGTTTAGCGCGATTGTTGAAGTTGAGTGTATCGGTAAAGTTGTATTCGGAAATAATAAACCAGTTTTATTAAGTAAAGAACTTGTGTCGCTAAAGTTTCGTCGGAACGAAGTTACGGAAAGTAAATTAACAAATGGAGACGTAACAAATTGGTGTCAGAAGTGGGATAGAAAAAAAAAGAGAGAAGAAGATGGAAACGAGAGGCGGAAAATCAAACTACAGCTTAGCAGATTTGATGGCAGCAATACAAAAACAAGAAAAGAAACAAGAAGAACAAGAAGAGAAACAAGAAGAGAAACAAGAAGAACGACAAAATAAACAAGAAGAGAAACAAGAAGAACGACAAAATAAACAAGAAGAGAAACAA